GTGGTGGTTCCCAAATCCGCCCCACAAAAAAAACACGGGGGGGGGGGGGGGGGGATTATTATTTTTTTGAAGAAAAAGAACACAAGTCTCTTCTTTTGATTGATTTTTTTTTTCTGCCGATGCCTTCTTTGCTTCGCCTTTTCTTCCAGATTGAGTTTGATATCGCAGTCCAGGTGCCTTCGGACCACAGCCCGGCCTTGGTGCTCAACGGGACCGAGCTGAGACGTCTGCAGGAGCGAGTCAAGCAGTTGGAGGTTGAAAAGCAGCAGCAGACAGAAGTCTACAATCAAGCCAGGCAGCAGCATATCAAGCTCATCCAAGAACGCAAGGACATGAACGCCGAGATCCAGCGTAAGACCCGAGTGGATCCGTAGCCAGAGGTCCTCGAGCCCCCGACGAGCAAAGTGTACGCTGATCAAATTCTTTTGTGTTTTGGTGTAGTGCTGGAGAAGCTTTGCAACCAGCTTATGATGAGAAGGTTCGGAAGGGAGGTGGATCTGGAGGTTCTGCAAACGCTATCCGGTAACAGGACAGTTGAGGAACTGAAGCAGGAGAAACTCCTTCAAGAAGCCGCGTACGCCAAAGAAATCCAACAGTGGGATGTACGCGCATCTTTGCGTGTTTTACGTCCGGCGTGCCTTTGCGCTTTTACGAGCTTTGACATTCACCTCTCGTCAATATTTGTTTTGGGATTTTTTTGTGCACGTTTGACAGGTCAAAGTCGAAAAAGCTCGCGAGGCTCTGATGGAGATGACAAGGAGCAACACGGAGCGACTCCTCTGCTTGAATAGTCTCTTCGAGCAGAGGAAGGAGCTGGAGCGCAAACTCGACGCAAGACAGAAGAAAATTGTAATTTCTTCTCCAATTTACCGCATTGAATACTTCGGTTGATTGAACTGACGCTTCCGAGATTTTCACCTTTCAAGCATCTTCCCTCTTGGAAACAGTTTTTTTTATCAACTTTATACCCGATGCAATTTGTAGCAACCTACGAAGCAGGGTTCAGGTCAACACATTTTTCCCTTCTATGATATCTTACACGTGTGTTCTCAGGGCAAACAGCTTCAAGAGTGCAGCAGGCGAGCTGACAGAAACGAAATCTTGAGTCTTCAAGAGCTGGTGAGAAAGCAGTCGCAGCAGTTGGAGAATCTCAGAAGAGAAATCATCCTTCTGTCCCATCAAGGAGCCGATGGCCTCGCCAGCAGCCAAACTAAGCTGCCTCCACTTGCTCATTTCACCAACACAACAGTTCAGAAACACGCAAGGAAACCAGGTAAAGCAAATTTAAACAGGAGAGACAGGAAGGCATACGACTGAACATGTACAGTGAGGTCACAAAAGGAGACAACTCCTCAAGGCCATCAAGCACCGACCCCAATGTCAATTATTCATTCAGATTTTTGTTTTTTTGTATTTGTTGTGCTTATTTGCAATCCACAAGTTCTGATTTGAAATCGACAAGGACGGAAAAAAAAACCTAAACAAAAACAAGCTGTTGTACTGTCAACGCCAATGCAATGCATTCATAAATTACAACAATCCATCCATCATCCAACCATGCATTTTGTTGTGCTCATCAAAACAAGAGTTGTGTAAGATTGACAAATGCATTTTTCCTTGGGACTACTCGACTTACTTTTCACTGTACTTTTTTTTTTTTTTTTTTTTTTTTTTTAAGGCAAAGGAGTCGAATGTGAACGAGTCTCCTTTGTGCATTTGTTTACGTGTATGATCATATCCTTCTTTTTGTGTGAGCGTTTTAATGTCGTGTCAAGACAAATAAAGGTTAAATTAAATCAACCGCATGTTAACTTTTACCTGTCTTATTTGACACAATTATCTGTATTTCTTCTGCAGTGTGAGCACAACGGCTCCAGTTTTGCCACCTTTGCCGAGTCACAATGCGTTTTTAAAAAAAATCAGATTGTGTCCTAAATGTGGAAATGTATCTACAGTAATACTAATCGGGGTCATTGTGAGTATCGTGTTTTGTTTTCATTGATCAAACGTCCACGCGCAGTCCGCCCTGCTCATCTCAATCGGACTGGAAATAAGATTGATTATCATTCAGATGGGAAAGAGCCTCAAAGTTGACGGGTACGATTTTTCACCAACTGTTCTCGTTTACGAAGTGCGACAGAAGAAGCTTTCTCACCCTTTTGTTGCAGCTCAAAATGTGTTGAGTTGTTTTCTCTGAATTTGGCCGTTGATCGCTCCCGTTTCTCATCGTCCGTCTCAAACTTGATTATGACGCGCCGCGTGACGTCACAGTCATCAACATCTGCATATGCGCGCGTCAAGACTTTTATGCACAATTCGCGGAATTTTCGTCTCACGGGAAAAAACGTGAACCTGAACCATCAATTGAAGCTGGAAGAAAAATTAAAAAATATATATTTTTATAATAATAATAATGCTTTTAAGCAGAGTAAATCGTCAAGCATAATTTATGGTTTGTTTCTTAAGATCAAGCTATTTCACTTTACCTTCCACATGGCTGACGACTCCTCTCTTCAGGTTAGTTTTTTTTTGTTATCAGTCAATTTTGAGAAAAAAATATATAAATTTTTTTTGCAAAAACGTTCATTATTGAACTAATATTCATAAACCAAATAATAAGCTATCTGAATTCAATGAATAAAGATGTCTCTCTTACACAGGCAGGCAAAGAAGACACAGAGTTGCAGGATGAGGAGGAGCCGCCGTGTTTACCTGTTGACATGTGTTATAGTTATGAGGAGCTTCACTCCAAACCATTCATCACACCCGAGTCTGACATTCCAGAGAACCTCCTGTTCCTCTCGTAATTATTTTGTAACTATCTCAACCAAAAAAAATATACTTTTTTTTGTTGACATGTGTGGCCTTCCTCTGTGGAATTTGCATGTTCTTCCCATGCCCGTAATTTGTGAGTGGAAATGCCCATGATGCCATTTTCAATGCTAAATGAGTTGGTCCAACTCGCCTGTCGTTTTAAATGGGCCGTGACCTCATTATTTATATTCCGTATGTAAATAAGCTTTGTTCAGATTGGTGAGCCGTTTAAGTGGAGAAAAAAAGGATTTTGCTGTCATGGGACATTGATTTGATCTAATCTTCATCTTCATTTGTTCTTGAAGTCATTCGTATGGCTACGACTGTGGCCGGAGAGCAAACCTGCAGCTGCTGGATGACAAAACTCTGGTCTTCATTGCTGGCCAGCTGCTCATCCTGCTTGATGTTTGCACCAAGCAGCAAAGGTACCTGCGCTCCTGCAGCGGTGGTGGAATTGGTGCCATCGGGGTAAGAGTGAAAAAACTGACTACATCTGTTTTTAATGATGAGAAATAACTTGCTCCTGCTCGTGATTTTGCACGAGACAATATCACAGTGTAAGCATAGAATAATTGTTCGGAGGTCAATCGTTGGCTTTTTTTTTTTTTCAATTCTTCTTACGGATGTTTTCACAGGTAAACCATAAGAAAGATTATTTAGTGGTGGCAGAAAAGGGAAGAAAACCCATCCTGATAGTCTATAAATATCCTTCATTACAAGCATACCGCATCTTGAGAGGTAAATATAACAGTCATCCGTCACTGTCATGATTTCCCTCGAGGGCTTGTGTCTGATCATGCGTTACCTATGTGTAGATGGTACAGATCTTGCATTCAGCTCTGTGAACTTTAATAGTGATGGGAGTCTTCTGGCCAGCCTGGGCAGCGCACCTGACTACATGCTGACAGTGTGGAACTGGAGGCAGGAGGAGGTGATGCTCAGGTGCAAAGCCATTTCTCAGGAGGTTTACAGAGTGACCTTCTCCCCGTACAACCCTGGCCTACTGACATCATCGGGATCTGGACATATCAAGTAAAGGACAAAACTCTTACTCCTCTGGTAACTCGATACCGTATGGAGATGTTATAGCCCAGTCGGTTTCATGGCTCACAACTAGGCTCAATGCAGACAGTACACTCCCTTCAAAAGTGAGTGTTGCAACAGTGAGGTCAATTCCTGTATATTTGCTGGAGAAGGAATGCATGCACGAAATTTTGGCAAAGTCATAAATTACGCTAGCGATATCGATGACAAATTGACGAGTAAAAAAGTGTCGGCCCCTTGGTGAGAATTGTTCTTACTTTTTAGAGGGAGGATCTATAGAAGACACTTTGTCACACAGACTACTATGTACAGTTTTTCAACAAGAGGTGCACGTCACAAAATACACCCAGAGCATCTTTTTCATACAAAAGGTCATTTTCAGACCCAGAGATAATGACATCGGATGTTAAGTGTCATTGAATGTTCATCTTTCGCATCGCTTTCCCCTCCCCAGGTTCTGGAAAATGGCCAGCACATTTACAGGTCTGAAATTGGAGGGCCTTATTGGCCATTTTGGAAAAACTGCAGCTACGGATATTGAAGGCTACATCGAACTTCCTGATGGAAAGGTCTTTGTCCTACTGATCTGCTTTTATTCTTTTTTTTTTACTTTATTTGTCACGCGGTGATACATTCTACATCGAACTTCCTGATGGAAAGGTCTTTGTCCTGCTGATCTGCTTTTATTCATTTTTTTTAATTTATTTGTCACACGGTGATACATCGTGGCAAGCCTGTCACTATCAGTGACAATGATGGCATGCTGCTAATCACTGTCCTTCCTCTGTCACTATCAGTGACAATGATGGCATGCTGCTAAGGAATGGTGCCACTTGGTTGAAATGGTTCAAGACAACAAATAGTCCTCTGACCACTGTCCTTCCTCTCAGGTGTTGTCTGGCTCAAACTGGGGCAACCTGCTGCTATGGGATGGAAATGCTATCAAAGTGGAGATCTGCAGCAAGGGAGGACGCTGTTGTCACGCAGGCGTTGTCCAACCTTTCGCCTTGGAGGATGGACAGCTGATGACGTTCGGCTCCGATGGAATGATCCGGGTAAAATGCGGATGCATCACATGACGTTGTGCGGGTGTTGAGAATGTCGTGACCGCCTGGTGCGTGGTGTTTCCTTTGCCCCTTGCAGGGGTGGGACTTTGAGACCATCGACGCTGCTGACAGCAGCAGTGAAAACAGCAAGTTTGAGTTGGAGCCCATAAATGAGATGGCGGTGGGGCGCCACGTTTGCCTCTTTTCAATCGTAAAAAGCTCCCAGGCCGACTCGACCGTTTGGTTTGCTCAGGTCAGCGGTCACCAGCCACTTCTTAAAATGTACCTTTCGCAAGAGCTTTGCCTCAGTGAATCTAAACCCAGTGGGTTTTCTCTGTGACCTGGTAGGATTCTAATGGAGCCATTTGGAAAGTGGATCTTTCATTTACGTACACGGTAAGGTTCCCCCATCCTTGATGATTTTTAAAATTGATGTTAAAAGATGTTGTTTGATGTCTCTGTGAACAGACTCCCGATCCCGTGTGCCTATTTTCCTTCCATGCCGGGCCAATCAACGGCCTCGATGTGTCAAAGAATAGTCATCTCATGGCCACGACTGCATCGGACCGTGAGTTGCTATTTCTATATTCAGGCGTGGGGAATAATGGAATACATGTACTGTACTTGGTATGCACCCGTAATGGCAATGATGTGAAAATTTGTTTAAATTCGATTTTCATCCGAGAAACGTACCAAAGCAGACAGAGAGAAACTGGAAACATTATGACACTTGGATGACTTTACGAACATTTTTGAATGTACATACCGTGCCCACGTGCTTGCAAGTTGCAACACACTGGCACAACACGTGTTCAACGATCAATTTCTGTCCAGGTTCAGTCAGAGTCTTTGACTTTCTGGCAAAAACAGAACTGACCTGTAGCTGCTTCACTCAAGGTGGAACTGCTCTCCATTGGGCTCCACCTTCGGTACGTGTTTACGGCGCGGCAATGCTATTTCCTTCCCAACAGAGAGAGATGGAATAAACCGCCTCTTATTTTCGTCCATCTCCAGGTGACTCAGACTGGAAATTTACTGGTGACGGGCTTTGAAGATGGAGTTGTGCGCTTACTGGAGCTTTATGACCCCACGGGCCTTCAAATCGTAACCAGGCACAAAGTCGAGGCCCAGCTGCGCCTCAAGCAAGCCTTCAAGCCCCATAATGCCCCTATCACCACGGTTGCATATGAACGCAATGGAACGGTCTTGGCCACGGGGGTAAGGATATTTTATTGTTGAGCATCCTTTTTTATTGCACCAAATTTCATCCTGCAATTTCCTTGATCACCAGAGCTCAGATTGCACCGTGTTCTTTTTCACTGTTGGAGAAAAATATGAGCCAATTGGTTTTATCTGTGTTCCCGGACCAGTACAATTGCTGGAGTGGTCACCTCCTTCCCATGTAAGTCGGTATTTCATTTTGAAAAAGAGCATCCTGCCTTTTTTTTTTCTTTTTGTCATCTGAGAATATATCACTAAACAACTCCATATTTTGACCTAGCCTGAAAACAATCTGCTCATCCTGTGTCGAAGTGGTCATGTTGTGGAGGTGCCATGTCCTGACCCTGAAGCCCTGGAGACGGCCAAATCCTTCCAACTGCTTGAACTGCCGAGAAGAAGCTTCCGCTTCAAAAGCATCAAATCTCGAATCAAGGTATGACGTCAATGATGTTTTTGATGTATATATTTTTCTACCAACAACTTTACTTATCATATTCATGTCAAAGGTCTCAGGTCTCTGTTTTCTCTGAGAGAC